AAAACGTGAACATCCTATAATCATAAAAGCACATTAGGTTAAGTAATGAACCGATAAACTCCTTCTGCCATTGACATGCTGCAAGTTGTACACCTAAACCGTTCCTCTTCTGGCTGCAATTTTTTGTGGCATGTTGGGCAGCTTAGGTAGCACCATTCCCGAAAGTTTTCTATAGAAACTATCTCCGCAACCACCCAATAAATATTTTCCTATTCAAGTATAAATTTTTTGTTAGCGGTGGACATATTTATTCAAAATGCGATAAGTATTATCAATAGCTTTAGAACACACCTCAGTTGCCTTCATCAAATCCTCCATGGTGGTGATGACAGCATTTCCACCGAGTATATCATCCCTCCCTTCCGCCTGTGAGCATTGCGTGTTGCAGGTTTGAGTCATGGTGTCATCACCATCTGCTGGAAACCTGTGTAATCCATGGTAGTCAGACTTTAGTTTTAGGAGATTTATTATAAACTTAAAAATATAAATTACACATACTCGCTTTGGAACTCGAGAAACTCAGTAGTGTTCCCGTTGATTATGAGTTTTGATACATCAAAAGACGAATTCACAGTCAAGATCCCTGTGTTCAAAACAACACTAAGTTTAGCTTTGGCTATTCTGATTTGCAAAAATGAATGCTGCTAAGTTTCTCAAACCTTGGTATCTTTTAGGCCTACAGAGCTGAAATATCACAAAGACAGGCACTCCTTCATTAGCATTAACATAATCCAGATACTGGTTTATGTACTTGTTCCACAATACGGCACCCAACCTGTTACCCCTGTTTAAAAAAGTTTCAGTCCATAAGCATATGTGTTTTTTCTTTTGCAAAAATATTCTAAGTGGTAAAACTTACTCCGGGTCTGTCAAAGTCAGCTCCATTAGCCTATCAGTCCTCCCGTTGGTGATGTGGGTCTGAATAAGGCTCTTGGACAGTACCTTCCCAATGACATCTGCATAATAATGAACCAACAGAAACTGTATTTAGAATATTTGTGTATGTGTAAGCAACGTAATGAGGAATGCAATTTGATTCTAACTCACCAATTAGACTTTTGTCGTTGATAACTCTTTGGGCATGCAGCATGTCAAACGGCTGAAAATCATAGACCATCATAGGCAGTTCTGTCCTCGTATCCTCCCTGAGCAGGGTTTTTGAGATGAATTGAATTAGATAGGGATGACTTGTAGTCTTCACCGATTGGTAATTATCAAGCACCAAAAAGTTTCTTATGGCATAAACTTTGTTCTCCGTTATCATCGACTTGTACAGAGCTATCTGCGGCCGCTTGATGATGGCATGAATCCGGTCACCCTAGCAAGACATAAACAGTTATATAAACACTTTCAGCAATTTACAACCTAACAGTTGGATTTTACAAACTATACCTCTACATCATGCAAAACCATTTCAAGAGTCTCCCCTCCCTTGGAGTGTGGAGGAACTTCATATGCCCTAACTACCCGAACCCTGATTGCCCAGGTGGTCTTTGTGTGATCAATATCCTTGATCAAGGACCACATTCCTGGTTGCGATGAACCTGTTGCTGCCATTGCTCTGATTTTTCAAATGTATGCTGAATGCTGGTTTGTAGTGTGTTGTGGACATCCCTTGCTTGGGTATTTATATTGGATGAAGGGTAGAAAACGTATGGTAGAAATCCCACTCAATCTCAACTTTAAGATTTTGTAGTACAAAAATAATATTGTTTAAGGAAGATTGTACACTGCATTAATGGTTTGGTGGCTCAAGATTTACACTAAAACATTTGAAGTACAATTTACTTCATTATTTTTAATCATCACATTGAAGGGTTTTTTTTTTATTTTATTGTGAGAGATACTAACTTCTACTTGCCATAGTACGAACAATTTAATGCTTTTTGTGGCTCAAGGCCTGCAAAAGGATTCATTTGTGATCTCCCTTTAAAAAAATTACACTTTGACATTAAATGCTCTGTACTATTTAACACCCCATACGTTTCTAGCCATACAACCCTACCTGCCGACTGACCAGCATTAAAGAGCAGTAATGGGCTTGCCCAGGACCCGTTTCCGCACCCATGGTAACCCGACCCGACCCACTACCACACTGCATTTGGGCGGGAACACTGTTCCCTTTTTCTTTTGTCTTTGTGTAATAAGAGATACTCAACTACTCTTATTTTATCCACTTCATATTTTTATCTTCTCTTTCATACTTTTACACACCCTTTCCTATTTTTTCTACACTATTCATTACTTTTACTAGTTCATCTTAAAATATTGTGCCCAAAGCTAATGTAGTGAACATTTAAATACAGAGGGTTGGTCGAGTTTGGCACGGATGACAAATTATTTTTGGCACAGTGTAAAGGCCTACTTTGCATTTAGTTCGTATTTTATTCTTGTTATAAGCCCATTATTGTATATTTTGTGTTTTAGGGCTTTAGTTTGATACGTAGGGAAAACTTCCCTTGTATGGAAATAGGTTATTATTTGGAATAGAATACACACGAATTGCTACCCTAAATTACTCGCATCATGGTATCAGAGCCGTGTGCTTGGTAAACCGACTTTGCCGCAGCTCTCGTCTTCACGCCTTCTGCAAGAGACTGCTCCAGCAACGCACGTTGCAGAAGACACCGTGGCTGGAGAAGACAAGATTGATGTGGCTTCACCTTATTACCTGGAATAAGGGGATCAACCTGGAAACTTGATCACACATGTCATTCTCACCAGTGAGAATTACGTTGTGTGGGCTAGGGCTATTAAGTTATCACTGAAAGCTAGGCGGAAGTTTGTGTCCGTTGATGGAACAATAAACAAACCAACCGAAGCACGGAAACTCCTTAAGTGGGAGACCGTGAATTCCATGACCGTTTCATGGATTTTGCGAAGCATAGACGGGAAAATTGCGGCCTCAATCCCGTTTCATGTTGAAGCAAAAACGCTTTGCGATTCAGCGCCCAAAACCCCAGCCCTCTTCCAGACCTACTACCCCCGTTCATCGCCCAGACGCCCACCCTCAGCCGTAGAACAGATCCGCCGCCGCCATAGGTTCTCGAGGAAGCCGTCGCAGGTCCCCGAAGAAGCCACCGTAGGTCTTCCACGTTGCCGCCGCACGAAGCCTAACAATCCCGACCTCTATAGCTCGCAGTCGAGCTCCCTGCCGACGATCGCTTTTGTCGGTCGCTGTAGGTCGCCGCCGCCGCCGCACGACACTGATTCACCCGCCAACTTTGTCCTCTCTACAATTCAGTGCTATCTTTTTATTTTGTTAATTCCATTTAGTTAATTTGGACACATTTCAGACACTAATTCCAAATCTGAACACACTCTCAATGAGTTAATTTACTGTTACTAGTCACATTAAATTTACCTTTTAGTATTTTATTTACAAAGTTTTTCTCATCCACATGTTTGCTAGTTTACTATTTTACTTAGTTTATTTTCTCTCTGAAGTTATTTTCTCATGTTCAATAGTTTTAGTTTAATCATTAATGTTATGTAATTAAATTCTTCGTAAGTACTTTTGTTATTGATTCTTATTTGCTTAACCATTACCACAATTAAATGATTAATCGTTTGAGAAAATTGCAACGATTCGTACTAACGGGTGACCAAATAAAAGTAGAGCTATCAAACGGGCCAACCCGGCCCGGCCCGACCCGACCCGACCCGCGGCGGGTTATGAGTTTCGCGGGGCGGGGCGGGGCGGGCCAACCCGTTTACTATCGGGCCAGAATTTTTATGACCCTAACCCGACCCACCTAACCCACGGGTTATGCGGGCCAACCCGCGGGCCATAAATGTCAAAACAAAAAACAATTAAATATCTAAATTAAAATCCAAACTCAATTGAAATAACGATTAAATATCTAAATTAAAATTCAATCACAATTAAAAAGGAAACAAAATTAGTGCTTGAAAATCTTTTGATTTAATACTTGAATGTATCATCATGGCATTCATGGGTAACTGATATACTTAAAAAGTTAAAAGTTGAAATACTTAATAGCTTTAATGTATCATCGTGGGAATACTTAAGCTGAAATACCTAATTTCTCATTTATTTATTTTGATTTGGATATCATGAATAAAATAGCATAGAAGTCCTTATGTTATATTCCGTAAAACAGTATAACATCGAATACATTAAATATACATTTATTTAGTCTGATTTGGATATCATGAACAAGATACAATAGTATTGGAAGTGAGGATCAGAAAGAACTAGAAGTAATGAGAGAGTAAAATAGAAGATATAATTGATTTTCCCAATTTTTTGTTTGGCTATTCAAATTCTCCCAGACTCCAGGCTAGGGTATATTTCAGACTAAATGATATAATTAAAAATACATAGAATAAATTATATTTGTCTTCAACCCGCGGGTTGGCCCGCAACCCGTACGGGTTGGCCCGCTAAACCTGCAACCCGTTAGGGTTGACCCACTAAGCCTGCAAAATAATCGGGCTTGAAAATGATGGCCCTAACTCACTTATAAGTGGGTTGAAACGGGTCAACCCGCGGGTTTCAGCCCGTTTTGACGGCTCTAAATAAAAGTAGTAGTAAAACCAAAAAATAAAAGCATTTTATCCCGTGCACGGCACGGGTAAAAGTACTAGTAAGGCAAAAAAACAAATCATGGTGTATTTTTACTTCAATAAATGTGGGTGGAGCCGTGGAGTAGATCTGCCGTTATTTTAACTAACGGAGTAAAAGGTTGATTACACACATTTTATTTTATAAAAGGGTACAATTATTATTGCATACAAGAGAAGGACACAATATAGAGGTACTAACATATATTCATAGTTATAATGTTTTTAGAAATAATTTCGATTTTAACAATTAACAAATACGGAGTACCCTGTAATAATAAAAGAAAAAACGATCCAGCCCAACATTCAAACAAAATCTACTCAACCCAGCCCAATATTAAAGCTAAACCTACCTGATCCAAGCCCCTCATATATAACCCCAATTACCTCCGTTACACCCAGTGTACGACACATTGTTGGAGACACATTGTACGACACATTAAACTTTTCCAGCGGTCTAAGCTTTTTGTTCGGCTTTCAAGTCGTGATGTTGAGCAGCGGTTCTCACCGTTCGTGTATTCCACATCTCGTCTGACACCTACGAGCCGGTAGCGGCTGATTGCAGTTGTTGTTTGGTATATTTCGTCCTCAATTTTTGTTCAAGTAAACGTTTTCGCGAGCACTTCATGTTTAATTTGTAACGATGTTTATGCTTTTCGTTTCTTCGAGGCTATTGGTTTTCTGTTTGAACGCATCATATTTTTTTGGATTGCATGATACTACGTATATACTAATGCATGTGAGTGTTCAAAAAACGATTTTTCAAATATTTTACCTAGGTCTGTAAATCTCTACATTTCTGTAGATTGAGGATAAAAAAATCCTATCGAATAGCATTTGTTGAGCAGATCTGTCGAAATATCAGATCTGGGATTGATGAGCATGAATTTGTGGCAAATAAGGACTGTGATCTCTAAATATTGAGATGTGACAGTATGAGTAATTTGTCATACATGAAATTGGCCTAACAGATAAGAATGGAGATCCGAGTGATTCTTCAAATTTTGTGATCTTTCTATCCGTTTGATGATTCTGTTGCGTTCATGCCAAGTTCTCTGTTTTTTTTTTTGATTTTTTTTTTGAAATTGATAAAATTGCATGATATTATGGTTTTTACCGCCTATAGCTTTTAAAAATTAATATATGCATACACACACGAATAATACTATTTTCATTTATATAATTTATATAATATGTAAAATGTATGTCCGTAAACATAAAAATACAATATACCATAAATGTGTATAATTATATACACTAATAGTCGAAATGCTACGGGGGTATATGTTAAATATACTGTATTTATGTATAGTTTTATGGGGATTATGAAGCATGTATACTGTGTATTATCTATGTACACATGTATATCATATCTTATACCATCTGGTGTATGCTATACCATCCAGTATTTTAAAACTATTTGTGTGTCATACAATATATTGGAATAGTATATATAATAATTAGAACCATATAATTAGAATTAGTATAATATTAGTATGATATGAACTACAATAAAACAGCCACATACCCTTCAACGTGTTTTCAGCAAACTTTTTAAACTACATCTATCATACAAACTGACTTAACAGTATATCATATTAGTATGATATGAACTACAACAAACTGCATAATGGCATAAATCCTGTTTTTTCTTATCTTTCATTCTTTTGCATCCTAAAGGCGCTAGGCGCTTATAGGTGATAAGGTCATCGCATTTTACATACCCAGGCGGCTCAGGTTTTGAGAGGCGATCGCTTTCCACGCTTTTGGGCTTCTATTGCGCTTCTGTGAGGCGATCGCTTTTCATGCCTCAAGGAAATCTGAATAATATTTAGTCTCTTGCGTAGCTGTTTGAGTTTCCGACTTTTACTTTGCTGCTATCTCGCTTCGCAGAGCCCAGAGGTAAGTGTATTCACGTTTCTTTTGTCTTCTGCTATTTCTTCTTTTTTATTTTAAGTTGTTATATTTATAAAAATGTTAAAATTATTTAAATAAAAAGTTGGATAACTGTACATATTATCTTTCGCTATTTATAAGTTTTGACTTTTGAAGTTTTGATAGATAACTGTTAAAAGTTTAAGACTTTTAAGTTTTTACGTATTTGGAGTATTGTAAGTTTTTAAATTTATAAAAAATATCTAAATTATTTAAATTTACAAATCTGTCTGTAATTAATTTACAGTAAAATTATTTAAATAAAAAGTTAGATGACTGAGACATATTATCTTTGGCTATTTATAAGTTTTGATACTTGATGGATAACTGAAAAAAAGTTGAGCCTTTTAAGTCTTTTAAGGTTTTTAAGTTTTGTAAGTATTTTAAGTTTTTAAATTTATAAGATTACTTAAATAAATTTTCAAATCATTCTGTAATATATACCTCTTGCTTTGTTTGTTTCTCTTATGATGTTTATTAAGATTTTTAATAGTTTGAAGTGGTTTTGAGAAGAGTACTTCATGTAGAAGTACTAAAAATATATTTCACCAAAGAAATGTGGCTGATATCCGTGAGGCTTGCGCCTCACGCCTCGTGTAAATCAATGAAATCGCCTCAAGCCGCCTCGTGCCTTTTAAAACTAAGTTTTGCATAAACCCCGTTTTCTCTTATCTTTTGCATAATCCCCGAGAAATTTGTCTCCCTGCACGAACAAATTTATATTTTAAATGAACTGAAATATCTAAATACAAAAGTATGCAGTTTTATACTGGTATCAAACTACCTGTGAGTCGATGAATACCAAATCTATCCTCCGTCCTCCCCTAGACTGAGGTGCCATTGAAATGTGTTGTGAGAATGCAAGGTGCTGTGTGTGGGATGGAAATTTAACTGACTGAAGTATGCTATTTATACTGCCGTAGAGGCAAAAAGTGCTCTACTTTCCAGTGGGCATTAACTCCAATAACCAATGGACACACAATGTTGCAAAACATTTAATGTTTCTGTACTTTGAAGATCAGATCTGATACTTTATACTGTAACTTAGGATTTAACTTGTGAAGAGGCTAGTTTATTATCCGCTAGTTAAAGGGCAGAAAATAAAACCTCAATTCAAAATCAAATCTCATTGCTGCTTAGCATTAATGCCAATGTACTTTTAAGATTTTATTTAACATTTTGGTTTGCTCAAGAAGATATGAGGGTACCCATCATTTAATGCTAAACCTTTTGATAAAACAACTCTGCGAATTGGCCTCACAAATTTGATATTGGCGGAGATATATTTGCTTTTCAAAATACATTACTGATTTGGCATTTAATGATCAAAAAGTTTCGAAAAGACACTATGCTACAACAACTAATGCGTTCCCATACAACCTGTTAAAGCAACCAATATTTATTTCTTTTTTTGCTAAAGACTTGACCCCAGCTTTTAGACCCGTTTTTGACCCGAATCCGCCTGTCTGACCCGGTAGTTTAGGCGGGAATTCAGACTACTTTTCCACAGCAGTTTTCTATATATAAGATAAATATTTGGTTGATACGAGTCTGTTAGCGGTTTGTGTTTGTTTGTTTATTCGTTTCTTTGTTTTTGTGTATAAATTGAATAATAGTTGATCATGTTTTCTGCACATAGGAGGAGCCTGACATTCCAGAGGAGGAATTGCCACAACCATTTAATAAATCAAAGGATAATGTGGTCACCAAGTCACCAACCCCCAACCCATATGACCTACCAGCTTCATTTTCACATCTGCCTCAATCGTTTAAGCCTTGCTTCTCTAAATGTGACCAAACCAATACAAAATCTTTTACGAACTCTCTTCATAATGAACCACGCTTAAAACCAAACTGTACCAGATTCCCTCCACATCCAAACACTCCCATAAAGGATCTACATCAATCCATAACTAAAGAGAACTCCAGCTAAGCCTGTATCCACAACAGGAGTGATGACTTCTACACCCACGCCTCAACCTTCTCCTAGGAGAGGGTATATGAGCCCTCAGGGTGATTCATCTAAGCCCCCAAAGAAACTGTTAAAACGCCCTTTGAACTTTGATCTGCCAGTGAAGAGTGAAGTCAGTGAGGCTGGAACATATTCTTCTGCTTACCGTGATATGCTGGGTGTTCTTCCTGAGAATCTTTTGGAATCGGTAAGCATAGTTATATTATTGGAGCTCTGCTGTTAAGTTGTAGTTATTGGAGTGGCCGTTTGGGATGGCCTATACAAAACACTTCAATGAATAATTGGTTCATTTGGATGGAAATGATTTTAATCCTACAAAAAGTAAAAAGATAATGAATTTTAATCTAAAAAACCGTTGTATTTCAATTAAAGCAGCATATTGCATATAATATGGGAAAAGTGCTTTTATCTGTTTCAAAATTCCATCCCAAACTAGCTGTATACATTTGTGGCCTATGAAGAAATCCTAAACATGGTGTGCTTGTGCAGATAAGAGCAAAAGAAAGGAAGGCATTAGAGGAAAGAAATCCCGTGATCTCACAGGCAAAGTGGAGAAAGCAAATGATTGCAGGGCTACCTAAAATGTTTGAAACAATTTATTTCCTATTCCAATCCATCAAACGCTCAGTTATCACAAAACAAGAGCTTATGCACAAAATACTTGTGAACTACATAGACATTATTCATAGCAGTAAGCCTCTTGCCAACAAACCAAATCTTAAAACTATGTCGTATTGTTTAGATGAAGCTATGTTCCAAGTTCACTAAAAGTGTTAATTTGCAGGAGAAGCTGAAGAGCAACTCCGGTTACTGTATGTCCTAGCACCAGAGTGGATTTATGAACAAGCAAACTGATTTCATCTTGTGCAGTGTGAACAAAATAGAATCCCTAGACTCAATACGGATGAGACTGGCACATGCAATTTGAGAGGAGAATGATGATAGAGGTTTTAGTATTTTTTTTGGATGAATAGAGGCCTTAGTATTTGTTCATAAACTTTATCTTTAATTATATGCCTTGAAGTAGTGAGCTTAATTTGATAATGCTCAGGGTAACTCAATTAGGCTTTGAGTTGTAACAATTTGACATTGTTAATTTTGACAACAAAGATAAATGCCCCTTCAAGATGAGCAAATGGAAGGGAGTTCCATGTTCAGTATACCAAAAGCAAAATCAAATCATACAAGTCTGCGATATTAGTATATTCAGATTCTTCTGATAAATGTCTGACTTTTATCAAGTTCTCCTTCCCTTCCAATCGGGTAAAAAAACAATATGCAACTTCGGCCCCTTAAGATAACATAGTATATTCAGATTCTCGGGGGAAATAACATAAAGTTTTAGTATATTAATTAATGAGAAACTTAACCCAAAGTCAACATAAAAGTTTCTATTATCTCTCTCGAGAATCGAGATTCATTTGAATTAGTCCTGGACTTGGGCCGGGTGGCCTGACTCGGAACCGGCCCGGCCCGGCCACTGTAGCAACCGGTCCACCGGCGGTTCGGGTCGAACCGGCCCGGTGGTTCCCGGTTCCGGGCCCGGGCCTTCCATATGGTGAACCGGCCCGGCCGGTTCGGGCCCGGTCCGGGTCGGATTTTAATTTTTTTTTTTTCTGAAAAATTTTTTAAGTCTTGGGTTGGAATAGGTATTTTGGGCCATTTGAGGTGGTTTGGGGTGGTTTGGGGTTGAGGGGGAGGGGTAGGGGATTAAATAGGAGAACCAAAAAAAAAAAAATTAATTGGGCCGGATTGGCCCGGCCTGGCCCGGCCTGGTTAGGCCCGGAACCAGAACCGGAACCGGCCACCGGCGGTTCGGGCTCGGGCCTCCCCTTTCCTGGCCCGAGGCCCGGCCGGGCCCAGGCCCGAACTGGGCTCGAACCGGCCCGAGTCCGGCACTAATCTGAATATAAAGTATTCCCTCTGTCTCAAAATTAATTTCTCACTTTCCTTTTAGGGCAATCCCAAAATTAACTTAACACTTCAAAACTTTCTTTATTTGACAAATAATCTACATAAAAAATGTGTCAAACAGTATCCAAACAGTGTTCAAATAGTGTCAAATAGTGTTTAAACAATGCAAAACAATGTATTTCATAGTAAAGTCATTTATTTTCTTAATCTGTGTGAAGTCAAATTAAGAATTTAATTATGGGACGGAGGGAGTATAAACTTATTTCTAGATTGTTTTCAATTTGATAAATATACTACTCGTATGAAATAGTACATTCTTTTTGTTTTCAAAAAGTTATATAAGATTAGGGCCGGGCCCGGTTCGGGCCTTTAACCGGCCGGGCCCTGGTTCACCAAAAGGAGGGCCCGGACCTGAACTGGTGGCTCCCGGTTCCGGGCCTGTTCCGGGCCATACTGGGCCGGGCCACCCGGGTCCTAATTTTTTTTGCTTCTCTTATTTAACCCCCTACCTAGTCCTGACCTCGGTTCGGGCCGCCCGACCCAGAACCGGCCATGCCCGCTACAGTGCGGGACCGGAACCGGCCCGGTTGATGGTTTTGGGCTTGGGTCGGGCCTAGCCCCGCTGCCCATGCGGTTTCGGGCTCGGTCCTTTGGTTAGGCGACCTGGCCCGGCCGGGTCGGGCCTGGGTCCGGGCCTAACGTCTATTTTTTTCTTTCTTTTCCTCCTTTTCCAGCTTTATTTGATGCTTGGTCTGTTGTCCCACACCCAAACGGCTATATAGCCGTTGGGTGGTACCGGGGGGGGGGGGGGGGGGGGGGGGGGTTGGGGGTAAAAAAACCCTCTAAATACTCCTATTCTTAAACATAATTCCACACCTCTTCTCCAAATCTCCAATTCTTCCTACTCTCTACTCTCTAATATTCTATCAATCTATTTTCAATCTTCATCTTCTCATATTCTCCATTCTATTTTACTATTTAATACTTATACAATTATTATATCTATTTATACATTAATTCTCTACTTATAAATACATATATTATATTTACCTATATTCCTTAATCCTTATCTTCTTAATCTCTACTTATTATCTACTCATATACCTATATTACAATTTACATTTACTTAATATACACTTTATATACTAAAGTATTAATTATATGTGTATTACTCATCTTATAGTAATATACTTATATATTATATACTATAAACATTATATTAATATATTACATATTAGTTATACATTTATTATATCTACTAATATAGTTGGAATTATATATAATTAATTTGAAGTATATTAATTATTTTATATATTAATTCGAAGTTTCGAACTATATATAGTTAAGTAGTTATATTAATTAGTTTATATATTTATTAGTTATATATTAATTCGAAATATATATATATATATATATATATATATATCATTAGGTAATATATATATATATATCATTAGGTAATATATTAATTCGAAATATATATATAATTTGAAATATATAATTATTTCGAAATATATATAGTTAAGTATATATTTTATTGTATTACATTTTATCCCATTTTATCTCATATATACTTACATATGTATTAGTTACACTTTAATTAATATATTAGTTAAATTCATTCTATTACTCCCATTAATTAGTATACACATTCATACATTTGTCTTATTTTTTATTTTCTTCAGAAAACCTGCCTTTTATTCAATCATATGGTAGTGGAGGAGGGCATAAAACCTGGCCTCAAGATAAAGTACAATCATAAGTAATATTTGGGTATCCTACGGCATCATATTTGAGGATGCTAACAAAATGGGGGGAGTTGGTGTCTTTCCCTTCACTAATGTAGTTCGCCGGCCGATTCAAAGGTTTGCTGACAACTTTAATATTTGTGTTGCACTTTTGTATGATCTTTCTAATTCGGGTTATACTATAGATGAAAGTCCACAGCTTGACACAATGAAAGCGAATGACATTGGCTATTTCTTGGACTTCTAGCTCAATGTTCGAGACATTATAAGAGCAGCTCCTACACATCCACAGAGCCGAGAGGATAGTTTCAATGACAGCCACGTGATCGGAGGTGTTGAAAAAACTTTGACGTTTGTGCATAACCATCTTTCCTTGATAATTCCGGACGAGGAAACCTGTGTGTGTGCAGAGATTGTCAACAGTGGTGGCAACATTTAAAGTAAAGCGACCATGGTTTGGGGGGGTCCAATGCTTAATGCAAGGAGAGAGTTCAGGGGCTGGACACAGGGGGCGTTTGATAAGAGTTTGAAAAATGTTTAGATCTTTGTTGATTTTAAGGATGGCCTCAGAATTAGTAATTTTTCTGTCTTCAATCAGATGGGCGTTCCTCATTTTCCACAGATTCCATAAAATAGTGGTGTAAAGGAGAAATTGGCTTCGCTTGGTCCATTTTAAAATATCATCCGATATAGTGCCATCCAACCACTGATTCCTAATTTGAAAATGGGACCAAATAGGTTTAAGAGTGTCACATCGAAGAAAATAGTGGTCAATGGTATCAGGGTGGTTGCAACAAGGACATTTAAAAGGACCATAGAAACCGAATTTCTGAAGGGTCTTGACACAAATGATAAGTTTGTTCTTAAGACGCCAGAGCATGATGGATATCTTTTTGGGAATCGGAGATTGCCAAATCTGATCAAGGTTTTTAATTTTGGTCCGTTTTCTTCTAATATCATCATAGGCCTTTTTAAAAACAAATTTTCCATGGGGGGTGCCTTTCCAAAGAACTTCATCCTTATTGTTATCAAAAATCGGAGTATACTGAACAAGAGCCATTTGGACATCCAACGGCAAGGTCATAGAGGTGTGGGATATATTCTGGTACGCATCTCGAATGGAGATGTTATGGTCATAATTGGTCTCAGGATTCAGGTCCTTAAGAGGTCCTAATGGGCTCCAGTTTGAGTCCCAAAAGGACCTATTACCAGCATGCACAATAACCGTAGTGTTCGCACTATAATCATCTTTTACAGAATACACCATTTTCCAGAAAACAGAAAGCTTAGGATTACGAAGGGAATTAAATATGGTAGCCCAAATACTGTTTCCCGAATCCACTTTCCACCAAAGTTTGAGAAAGAAACTTCTTTGAACATCATATAACCTGCGAAGACCAAGGCCATTCTCATTAGTAGGGTAAGAAATATTATTCCAAGAACGCCAAATATGTTTGGTTTGAGAGGGATTGTTGTCCCATAAGAATCTGTTGCAACGAGCTTCAATATCTTTAAGAATGCCTTTAGGAACACAACAGGAAGCCATGGAGTATAGGGGAATAGTAGCAAGCACATGTTTAACTAGTATAAGTCTACCAGCCATAGATAGGAGCTTGTGTTTCCAGCCATTCAACTTGATGTCCATTTTATGGATCAAATGAGTAAAATAAATATTTTTGGGCCTCCCTAAAAAAATGTTCGCCCCAAGATAGGTAAAGGGGAGGCTACCTCTATTCATTTTGGAAATATGTTTTATCCTGGAAACAGTACGGGGAGGGGCGTGAGTACCTATGTAAAAAGAGCTCTTATGACTATTAATTTTCTGCCCAGCATTAATTGTCTTATTTATTTAATTATATATTAACATTGCTTGATTAGTTAATTAGTATTCACACGAATTGTTTAATTTTCCAAGTTAATTGTTAGTTTTTACTATAATCTAACTAATTGTTAGGAAAAAATCTAGTTAATTGTTAGTTTAATTCTCATTAATTCACACGAATTGATTGTTATTTTTACAAAACTAGTTAATTGTCATTATAGTTAAAGTCAAACTATAATAATTTGATTGTTAGAAGATAAAAGGTAGTAAAAAAACTAGTTAATTGTTAGTTTAATTGTCATTAATTCACACGAATTGCTTGTTATTTTTACAAAACTAGTTAATTCTCATTTTAGTTAAAGTTAACCTATAATAATTTGATTGTTAGAAAAAAAAAGGTAGTAAAAAAACTAGTTAATTGTTACTTGTTACTATTATCTAAGTAATTTTTAGAGAAAAAAAACTAATTAATTGTTAGTTGAATCCTCATTTTAATTAAAGTACTACACATTTCTTGTAAAATTTTTAAAGTAACTAGTTAGAATTTTATTAACTACTTAATAAAATGTCACAATTAACCCTGTGTTCTCAACTCCTGCTGCTAATCCACTTCTGTTAGACAAAGATGAAGAATCAGAAGATGATCAACCAGAGTTGCCTAGACAACAATTGTCAGAACCTGATCTAACTTGGTTAAGAGATCATCCTCCTAATCAAGTAATTGGTCAAATCTCTAAAGGTGTTCAAACCAGATCATCATCCAGAAGAGAAGCCATGTTCACCTGCTGCATATCTCAAATGGAACCAATGAATGTAGATGAAGCTCTAAAAGATTCAGACTGGATCAATGCAATGCAAGAAGAGCTCACACAGTTCGAAAGGAATCAAGTATGAGAACTTGTTCCTAGACCAAAGCATCAGAATGTCATTGGAACCAAGTGGGTATTCAAGAACAAAGCAGATGAAGAAGACAACATTGTAAGGAATAAAGCAAGGCTGGTAGCAAAATGATACTGCCAAGAGGAAAGCATAGATTTTGATGAGACCTTTGCACCTGTTGCAAGACTGGAAGCAATCAGAATCTTTCTAGCCTATGCTGCCTTCAACAACATCAAGGTCTACCAGATGGATGTCAAAAGTGCATTTCTGAATGGAGAACTTGAAGAGGAAGTATATGTGGAACAACCACCAGGTTTTGTCATTCCTACTCAGTCCTCTTGTGTCTACAAGCTTAAAAAGGCCCTTTATGGTCTTAAGCAAGCTCCCAGAGCCTGGTATGACACATTGTCCCTATTCCTAGTAAACCATGGGTTTACCAAAGGAAAGGTTGACAAGACCTTATTTAAAATTTCTGTTGCTAATCATATTCTGTTAGTGCAAATATATGTTGATGACATTATATTTGGAAGTACTAACCCAGAGTTATGCAAGAAGTTTTCTCAAGTTATGCAGAAAAAGTTTGAGATGAGTATGATGGGAGAACTAAGCTACTTCCTTGGATTGCAAGTCAAGCAAGTTCCAGAAGGAATCTTTATCAACCAAGGGAAGTACACCAGAGATCTAATCAAGAAGTTTGGCATTGATGGGAAATCCTCAGTCAAGATTCCCATGAATGCTTCTCAAGGAATTGGACAAGATGATGAAGGAAAGGATGTTGATGCAACAACATATAGAGGAATCATTGGATCTCTCCTCTATCTAACTGCAACAACAGTGAATTGCTTATATGCAGTATAAGCAAGGAATATTCTTATTGCTTCAAGTCTGGCAACAGGAGCAAAAGTTTCATCAAAATCTATTCCTTCTTCTTGACAGTAGCCTTTGGCTACTAGTCTGGCCTTGTTCTTGATGATGATGTGATAACCGCTTTCGCGGCGTTGTAGTAAAACGGAGTTTTAACCTTTCCGGATGGAAAAGTTTATCCCCGAGTATCGTGTCTCTGAGGAGTGGCGGAGGGAAGCGTTGGTTTCTATATCGGTCACCGGTTAGTACGAGTCGTTGCAAGCTTTCTCAAACGATTAGATTGTGATAATGATTAACCAAATAAAAAAAACAATAAAAGTAATAACTGCGAATTTAATTAAATGACATTATTGAGTAAACTAAAACTAGTGAACATGCAAAATAAATTGAGAGAGAATTTTAACTAATTAAATTATTAAACTAGCAAACATGTGGATGAGTAAAGTTTCGAAAATAAAATACTAAAAGGTAAATTCAATGTGACTAGTAACAATAAATTAACTAATTAAAAAGTGGGGTTTAGATTTGGAATTAAGGATCTTGGGTGTCTTTGGTTATAATTAAATTTGGGTATTTTCTCCAATCTAAGAATAGTAACATTAATTCTCATAGACAAGAATTTAATTCTAATTCCCTAACATGTCCTATTTCTAGGCTTAGTTTAGGGTGTGTGAGATGTGAGCTAAATTAATTCTACACTCATAGACAAGCAAGAATTAATTTTCCAAACATTCACAAGTGAAGTGATCAATTTCACAAATTACTCATTCAAATTTATCTCAAACAACTAGTCCTAAAAATTAGAGAATTTTCCCAAATTCAATTCAATATTCAAGAACACCCATTAACCTTAACTTTGTCCAAATCCAAACCCCATGGAAATTTAGCCTAACATACTTATCAAGAAACTAACATCATTAATGGAGAGCTAAAGTAATCCATGGAAATAATTCGAATAGAAATTCAACATAAAAACAGTTCAACAACAAACTTAAGAGTAGTTCCAAATGATAAATAATCCAAGAACGAAAATTAAAGCTTATTCAAACATGAAATTAAAGAGGAAATTTAAATCAAAACCTTAACAACTAAGATTGAAAGATGAATGAACATGGAGTAGCCGCGTTTTCCTTCCTTCTCCTAATTGTTTCCCATCCCAACTGCGGCTTTCATTCCTTAGATTGGAGTTGCATTTTTTTTTCTTCTTGCCGCTGGGTGTTGCAGGTGTGTGATTGCTCTACGGGAGAATTGTGGGTGATTTATGGGTGTGAATTCCGTTTTAGACTGGTTGGTGCCGCTGCTTTATTTCTCTTCCCAGCAGTCGTTTTCTCCCTTCTTTCCTGCTGTTGGCTGTCCTCTCATTTTTTTTTGTTCTTTTCTTTGGTATAATCCGCACCCATGTGCTGCTGGAGTGTTGCTGATAGCTAGGCCTTTCCTCTTTCTTTCCATTTGTTTTTCTTTTTGTTTTTTTGGTTGTTTTTTTCTTTCTAAAAAATGCAGCCACGCTGCTTGATTTGGTTCTTTATTTTCTTTTGCTGCATTGTTGTAACGCAGCCCTGCTGCTTATTTTTGGGTTTTCATTTTTTTTTGTTTTCTTGTTTTCAGTTTTCTTTTACTTTATTTCAATTGCTTGATGTACTAAAAGATACATAGTATCAAATTCAAATATAATAGCAAACTCAATTTTGACAAATCACAAAATATAGATAACACAAATAAGAAAGAAAAAAAAAACATAAAATCAATCCAAACACTTGAATTAGACACAAATTACTAAAAAACGTAAATTTAACCACTAATTTCAAACATTAACAAAAATGCAATAAAAATAAAGACAAATGCTTCAATTTGCCCCGAGTTTGACAAGAAACGCTATAAAAAGTGAGTGAAAATATATGAATAAAATAGACTTATCAATCTCCTCACACTTAAGCGTTGCTTGCCCTCAAGCAACTAATCAGTTCCCAATGTATTTTCAAGGCAAATTATTTAAGGTGCAAAACTCGAGGGTTCAAGATCACTTGGATTCAACCATTAATAGACTAAGATTCCAATCTGCCTAACTATATTTCCATGAAAGCACGGTAATAACTCAACTTTTATGTCACAACATACTTTAAAAAAAAAAATCTCTCAATACTAGTATATTTGCAAAATAGCTACTAAATAGTTATTAGCACAAGTCAACATTCACATTCAGAAACCACCAGTCATTCTTAACTAGTCATGAAATACATACAAGCTCCAGGTCTAAAAACAGTTTTAGCTCCCCTAGCATTTTTTTTTGAGAATGATCTCGGGGGAGCTATAAACAAAGCCAAGTTGGTATGAATTTATGGTTAAACTAAATCATTGATTTGTGGGGCTATCTCATAAAATATATAAAATATACTCAACTCTCGCAGAATACGATAATGAGAAGAACAGCGCCCCTTCTCGGAGATGAGACTCCCAACGAAGAAACTTCTCAAATCAATAATCAAGTACAACCAGAATAGCGAGAGATATTCTATCAAATGCTAAAAGCAGAGCCTCATTCGAGGATAGAATTCTCCCTAATCCAAAGATTTTAAATATTTTAAGCTAACCAAGGAGCATTGTATATATCCATGAAAATAAAGTAAGACCGAACAACCATTCAAACCAAAAACCCAAACTTGTGTTCACAACTTCAAAGTAGAAATCAAGCATATCTCCTAATAATTAAAGATTTTTTTTAAAGTATGATGCTAATAAAAAGATTAGTTATAACAAAACTTTTTTAAAAAAATAGTTAAAGTAGATCACACCTTAGCTTATTAATGATCTTAACT